TTGTAGACCTTGTCCGTGCGTACCACACGCCGTTTTATCTTGCTTCGTTCTCGAGGTCTCAGGGGGGGGGGGCGGTCATCCTCCCCCCCGTCGGATCTAAGTTGTCATGGAAAAAAATCAACCTTGTACGTTGACCTTCAGGTCAAGGCAGGTCAAAGCCACTCAGGACACAAAGCTGGTCAAAATAATCCATGTTGCATATCGTCCGATCTGGCAGGTCTTTCTGAGTCCATTGACGGCTTTTCCGTTCTGGCTAGCTCAATTCGTTTACGAGTTATTGATGGGAAAAGTTCGATGACCTTATTGACGTCATATATGACGTCACGTTAAGTCAACAATGCAGATATTTTGCATCGAACGTCGCAAGGTGTGTATGAAAGCTTGATCCTATGTGCTTGGGATAGTCTTGAATCATTTCTTAATCCTTGCCCAAAAATAGATGCTTCTATATTTTAAAATGGTAAAGTCACGTGACTGACATGACCTCAGGCGAACTTGATCGAAAAATCCGAGATGTGCAAGTTTTGATGGCTCAGAAGATCACTCAATCCTATAAATTTCATCTTCTTGTGAAATATCTTCTGTCACTAAAGACGTTGTGACTGCGATATTTTACGACCATACAGAGGTTTACTTATGACGTCATAGTTCAGTGACCTGACCTGACCTGAAAAAAACAATTGGTGTCATAGATGCAGCTTAAATCAAAGGCCAAGCAGAAGCATAACAGATTTTATTTTTCCGTGATCAGCGCATACCGAGTAATCGCAAAAAGCCGTCGAGCGATGGGGTTTGCACTCGCGCCCCCTCTCGGCGGCCGCAGAGAGGGCGGAGGATCAATAATCCAGATCACGATATGGGATTATTGGGCCTAGATGTGACTCTGCACGCACTAGTGGACTCCTTGAAGTAACTAGTAAATTGCCTGCATTCAGTTCAAGACCTGAACGGCTAATTTTCAACATAGCACCGATCACCGTCACTTCAAGGTCACGCTCGGTTAGTTAACATACGTTTGCATATGTGCCATTTTCTTCAAAACTTCTGAATGACCCACTCTAATTTTGTCAAAGGTTGGTAAGAATATGGTACGCAATTAAATATATTAAAATGAGCCAAATCGAAGGCGGCGTGTTTTTTTCTATTTCAATTTGTGTGCTTAAAGGGACCCTCCCACCTTAACATTAGATTTGAGTTGAGATAGCCAAATTGGTGGCCATGGCCTGAAAATACCGGTTTGGGCACTCACAACATTGAAAAATGCTTTAATTCGGAGATATCGAATTTCAAACTTGCAGTTTTCGGATTCTAAGGGGCTAATGCATTGGTATGCCCCCTTAGAATTTGTGACGTCAGCGGAGATCTAACGATTTTAAATCTTTTACTAAAACGTTTGGTAGCACGCGGTGGTATATGCTGCTTTGCGCGCAACAAATGCCGCACTTTCAAATAAAGTCGCTAGGAACAGTGGCGATCCCAAAAAGTAAACAAAAGTAAAAGTCTAATATCTTGAAAACCGGTGAATATTTTTCGATGAAATTTGGTAGATATTCGTTTTTGCTCTTCCTGAACCGAGCGACATCACTTTCATGCCAATTCATTAACTTTTTTGAAGGTGGGAGGGTCCCTTTAAGAACAGAATTAAGCAGCTTTCAAGGTCATATATTTAAGCACGTGCAATTATAAACAAATATTTAAGAAATTACCTAAACAATAGCCGTTTTCACGACGGCCATCTGGTACACATTTGGTGCACATCTGGTACAGATTAGGTGCAGATTTGGTCAAATCAGGTTCAGTGTGTCTCTTAGCAGCAATTAGCTAGGGTTGCACTAATTGCTTATATGCTTGCTTTGTCATATTATCAGAGAGCATCATCGATTAATCCTCGCCCTGGCAGGGCATTTTTCATAACACGGCCTGGCAGGGGGGGGGGGGTCGATGCGACCCCCCTCGCGATTGGCTCCTATGGCACCTATAAACACCAAATTTGGTAGGTAGGTGGGCCCCTGGAGTTCTCGCCCCTGTGCAAATTTGTTTGCTTTAGGTCAATAGTTAGGGGTTTTTTTTTGGGGGGGGAAATGTAAAAATTTCGCTACAAACAGAAAGTTTTTCGCTTATAACTTTTGATCTATTTAAGATAGAGCAAAACGAAAAGCACCAGTGAACTCAGCACGTCAAGGCGCGTCGAATGGTATGCTTTTTAGCTTGCTTAAGTGTACTTAAAGTTTTTTTCTTAAATTTTAAGTGAACTTTAATTAATTGATTAAGTTCAAATTAACCAAATTGCATCAAATTGCATATCATTCGATTCGGCTGATCACAAGGAACACAATGACACCATTTTAAGCTCTAGCTTCATTATGTGCCAAGTTATTGGCAAAAACGTCATTTGACCTCGGTTGACCTCATTTGACCTGACCCATGGATAAGTACACCAAACAAAGAAGCACCAAGTGACCTGCTGTTAAGTACTATGGTTTCAAAGCACAAAAGTGATATAACGAAGCGGATATCTCCAGTATTTTCCGAATTTAGTATTTTCCCATAGGCTTAACCTTACGACGTAATGACCTCTAACTGACCTCAGGTCAGTGACCTCAAAAAACCCGAACTATATGTTATACAACTCGGTGAACTTAGCATACCCTGAAAGTTTGAAGGAAATCAGTCAAAAACTGTGAGCTGGACAGGTGCAAAAAGAAAATTGAAATTTGACCATGACCTTGTACCGTTTTTTTTTTTACCTGGTGACCTGACCCAAGGTCACCCGGACCTGAAATTTTCAGGTAATATGTAAAAAGGTTGCCCCATAGGCTGTGTCAAATTTTGCAGCGCTGCGCGCCGCCGTTTTTACGCTATCTTCGAAAACCTTTAGGGGGGTCGCATCGACCCCCCTGCCAGGGCGAGGGTTAAAACACTGACATAAATTCATAAAATGAAGATATTTGCTGTAAAAGAGATTAGGTGCAGATTTGGTCAAATCAGGTGCATTTGCCGATAGCCCGTCGTGAAAACGGCTATTATGGTTTATTTCATTCAAATCAATCAAGTACAACCAAAGTTATGGTCGTTTAACAATATAAAGATGCTACATGTAAAAATTTGATGCACTACCGTAAAGTGGGGCTATTTGAGACAGTGGGGCTATTTGAGACGGTATTTAAAATCGCTATAAAATGAAGAGCGTTTGATTTTTATGTGATATTTTTGCTCAGGAAGGTGTGGAATCGAGCAGTAAATTCGCCTGAGCAAAAATTAAGCAAAAATTTCAAACGGTTTTTATTTTATAACGATTTTAAATACTGTCTCAAATAGCCCCACTGTCTCAAATAGCCCCACCTTACGGTATATTTAAAAGACCTGTGGTCAGAATGTGAAGAAAAAACGCCAAATGTTTTTTCCGGAGTGACACAGTAACTTGCTCACAAATTTATAATGAAATCGCTGATGGTAAGGTGCAAAACAGCCGACTTTTGTTCGATTTGACGTGGAATGCCCCAATGGCCCTGCCTGGCGCCCAAAAAGGAGAGGGCACGATCCCAGAGGGCCTGCCGAACACTTAACTACAGGCATCACAGCTCCATACAGCTATACCTTTAGCAGATGGCCAAGACCACCTGCGATACATCCCAGCACTAATCTTTATTCGGAACCTGCCTTGATTAACCAAAAATGCGGTAACCCGCGCCCCGCTGGGCTATTCAGCCATATGCGCCCTGCTGGGGGGGAGGGGGCAGATTCTGCCCCCTCCTGTCTAACTTCCGAACCGATGGTCGTAGAAAGACGGGGAAAACGGCAATCGAAAGCTCTCAACAAGGCGGATCTTAAGAGCCCAATTTTTTTGCTTAAGTAGGTCAGAGGTCAGGTCAAGGTCAGGTCAAGGGTTCAAAATGCAAGTTTCTACAGTATCGGCCTTGCACCGTAGTTGCCGAAGAATGGACTGAGACTGATTGCCCAAAACGTGTTCTTAGACTACCAAGACAATATTCGTTGCATGAAATGTCATTCAATGGTCAAGGTCAAGGTCAGGTCAGGTCAGGTTAGGTCACCAAAAACAAAATATAGAAAAGGGCATGTGCGACACATGTTTTATGGGTCATTTTACTCATAGAATCCAATAGGCACACTCAATAAGTGATATGGACCACCTCTGGATGAATTTCAGGTCGAGGTCAGGTCAAGTGAGGCCAAATTTTGAAGTTGGTTGTTAAGGCCTAAAAAGGTGTCTATCTGATGCAGTTTTCAAGGCGAATCGAATGGCGGTATTTCTGTTTCCGTACGAGGTCTAGAACTTCCAAAAAAATCATTTTTTTTCAAAAATTTTGTGTGTCGTGACGTCATAAAATTTTGAATATCTTCCACATTTTTGAACGGATTTTTCTAGAAATTGGTATGTAGGTGCACATAGGCCACTTCTCTGACATATATTCCGGTTTTTTCGATACACTCAAAAGTTTGGATTTTATAATTATTTTTCCAAAAGTCAGTTTTTTGAAAAAATGGGCCAAAATCCAACATTTTCAAAAACCGAGATAGCCATTTGATAGACAAGGTAGAATCATGTATAAACTTTTTTGTTACGTCTTGATTCCTTTAAAAATGAAGATGTTAGCGGCGTTGGAAATTTTGCCGTTTTTGAGGCGAAAATGGCGAACATGACGTCACTAAAACGTCAACTTCTCAAAATATTTCCGACGGATTTCGCTCAAATTTTCAGGGAACGTGTCAAATTGATGTATAATAAGGTACTGAAAGTTTGACGTCGCTGGCGTAACGCGTTTAGAAGTTATTGGTGAAAAACGGGAGGGGGCAGATTCTGCCCTCCCCCAGCGGGGCGCGGGTTAAATGCGACGGATAACTCCGCAACGCACTATTATCAACTATTGAACAGGCCTCGCCGATAGGGGGTACTGTACCCCTAACTTTCGATAGCGGGGAACCGTCCCCCCCCCCGCTGGATGGCGGCCGTCATCCGCCGACAGCTGTCTCGTTTTCAGACCAGGCGCATAGCTCGGCGGAGCGGGCCGGCCTGCTGGCTGGAGTGCGCATGCGCCAGCTGCCGACCGACTCCAAGTTCTCGCTGCGCGGCGACACGCTGGCCAAGGCCATCCAAAACGACACCGCCCGAGGACTCATACCGTTCTTCGTGAGTAGTCGCTCCATTATCACCACTCATAGTAGGGGAGAGTACCCTAATTGCGCCCGCGAGATAAATGCGCCCTCCCAAGCTCCAGAAAAACTGGCACACCATAAGTACCTAGTGGTGGTTGCAAAAGTTTCCCACCTCGATCATACTTCCTTTTCCGGTGGAACCTTGGCAGAGGTAAGGCAGCATGAGCTTAAGTAACGATTTTGCTTAAATGTTGGGATTTCTTAGCAAAAAAAGCATTCTTCAAAGCTGTAGAATAAGGTTTAGTGAATGTTTAGACACATGTGCTGCTAATTTTTCGGACAGATGGTTAATTTTGAATGATTTGAGCACCTCCATGCAAGAGATTGTGACTGCGGTGAATAGGGACGCCATGTTTTGTCGCACCACTACGTTTTATTTTTCAAATGCGACCGGGGTAAATGCGCCACACCCGGGCTAATGTTAATGAAATGGGTAACATTAATAATGATGGCAACTATTCGAAAGGCTTAGGCAGATGACAAAACCACAAGCAATTTGAGGTCACTGTGCACTTCTAATAAAATTTCTAAAAAAAAAAAAACAGATGGTAAATTAATGAAATAATGACACATCATACAACGCCTTACCTACTTATCACTCTTAGTGAATGTTTAGACACATGTGCTGCTAATTTTTCGGACAGATGGTTAATTTTGAATGACAGTCGACCCCTGACCGCCGGCCGGAACGGACGTGTCCCCCTGCCCCCCGCGCGCCAGGTACAGCCTTTGTGTGACCGCGAGTGATTGAGGTGACCGACCGAGAGTGAGTGAAGCCGGCGGCGGGTGATACTGCTACAACTACAACCATGACAACCATTGCGGCAGAAGATATCCGAACAGCGGTGATGGAACACCTGTGCCAAGAGGAGTTCACGACACGGCTGCTGGACCTCGTGACAGAGGCTGTAGCCCAAGCCGTGAACAAGGTGAATGAGGCATCGGAGGCACGCATTGCGGCTCTAGAAGACGAGCTGGAGAGCACGAAAATGAGACTGGAGGAGGCCGAGCAGAAGATGGAGGACATGGAAGCCTACAGCCGACGCAACGCTATCATCATCAGCGGTGTACCGGAGGCGCCGAACGAAGACACCGACCGCCTGGTGATGGACGTGGGCCGAGCTGCCGGCATCTCACTGGCACCTGAGACGCTAGACAGGAGCCATCGTCTAGGCCGACTGCAGCCCGGCAAAGTGCGACCAATCATCGTAAAGTTCACGTCCTTCAACGCCAGACAGAAGATGTTTCTCAAAAGGAAAGAGCTGTCCGCGGAGAGGGTCCCCAATCACCCAACATTGACCCGCTCCGCCATCACCAAGATATATATCTCAGAGTGTCTGACTCCCAAAAACCAACATCTGATGTACATCGCCCGCCAGCTGAAGAAACAAAAGACGCTCTGGGCGGCATACAGCACCAACGGCATCGTGAAGATAAAAAAGACGAAAGAGGAGGCGGCAAAGCCCATCAAGTGCCTGGCTGATCTGGTGGACATCGTGGGAGCCGACGCGCTGCGCGGGTTCCAGCCGCGCAGGGCCACGAACCACGTGGCCGGGACCAGCGCCGCCGGAACCAGCGCCGCCGGCCGGCCCGCACAGCGGGCAGCCGCCGACCCCTCGTGGCGGATGACGGAGGCCATCGACGCGTGGGTGACGGAGCGCCGCCGCGGATCAAAGCGCAGAGGGAGCGCCGCGCCGCCCAGCTAAGCGGAAGGGCCCGTTCAACGACAATCCAGCGGACCACCGACAGGTAACCACTCTCAGACCACCCACATCCTCGGTGGGTACCCTGGCACTGTGGTGAAGGGTGGCTGAGCGGATTAGCACTATCAATCAATGTCGGGCCCGGAATGTGTCAACCATGGAAATGTCGTTGATAACTGAGCGTTTTATGCCAATGGATTACCAATCTCAATGAACGTAGTTTGGTGTTATCAAGGTATCGTGTTCGATGTACTCAATGTTTCATTTTGTTTGTCTCATACTATTGTGACTAACTGTATCACAACCGTAACTTAAGCTGTATCACCCGCCGCCAGCCGGAGCGCCTTCCCCATGTCTACACAAGCCGAAGCTAGTCACGTTCTCCCTTATATAAATATCAGCATATCTGCGATCAATATTAACTCTATCACAGCCCCTCTCCGCCTACAAGAGTTGCAAAACTTTGTTGATATGAATGAGATAAGCATTCTTGCCCTCTCCGAAACTAAACTCGATGCGGTAGTTCACCCAAGTCTCTATTCCCTGTCTGGTTTCCACACACCGTTGTTAAAAAACAGAACGAGAAAGGGCGGGGGAGTAGCGATCTACGTAAGAAACACGTTACCATTTTCACAAATACAGAGCCTTGAGTGTGAAAGCTTTGAAGCCACTTGGGTAAAAGTAAGAGTAAACAAAAGAAACATATTGCTATGCTCGGCTTATCTCCCGCCTCACACATGCTCCACCGAACAAGACGAGTTCCTAGATTATCTATCCGACAGTGTTTTAGAAGCTCAAAGATTTTGTCCAGACCTCATAGCTTTCGTTGGTGACTTAAACGCGGGTAACTGCTGGCTGCCTCCCAATGCGCCAAACCACTCCCCTATTACCTCATTCGAGACGAAACTGAAAACCACAGCTGACGCACTAAATCTAACGCAAATTATTCATTCTGCAACGCGCGTGCAAAACAACACTCATAACATCAGAGATTTAGCCTTTGTAGATCAACCCTATCTCGTAAAAGAATCAGGTGTCGCGCCGGCCTTCTCCAATATAGACCATCTGCCTCTGATCATCACCCTTGCTATTCAGACAACGCTTGAAGATCAGCACCCAACAATCACTGTCTGGGACTATGCAAAAACGAACACCGATGAATTTATTACGGCACTTGCAAATACCGATTGGAAAGCTATTACGGACGAAAACCTCGACGATGCAGTCGAGATACTGACATCGACCATCATCCATATTGCTAAATCACATATACCAACGAAAACAATCAAAATCCGTAACAACAAACCCTGGTTCTCGGCGGAGCTGAGACGCGAAATGCGTAAGCGTGACCGACTTTTTAAGCGGGCTCAATACACAAGAACAGAGAGAGATTGGGCCAAGTGGCGGTCCCAGCGTAACCTAGTCACCAGCCTCAACAGAAAACTAAAAAATAAAACTATAAAAACTAATGTCAATTTACTACTGGAAAGTAGGAAAAGTCCACATAAATATCATAAAATTCTGAAAAGTATCACGGGTTTCAAGCAAAAGACGTCACTGGCTCCTCTAATAGACGGAGATGAGATTCTTAGCGAAGATCACGAAAAAGCCGAAGCTCTAAATTCATACTTCTGCTCCCAAACAAAGATAAACGTCAAAGACCATCACCTGCAGTCACTTGGGACCTATAAATCGAGTCACACCAGAACAACACTGGAATTTCACTTCACTCCTATCACGCCCAGATCGGTTTTGCATACAATAAACAGTTTGGATTCATCTAAAGCCTGCGGATCTGATGGACTTCCCGTAAAACTAATTAAAATGACCGCCGCGTATACTGCCGAGCCATTAGCTAACATCTTTAACAAATCACTTTGCGAAGGAAAATTTCCAACGCAGTGGAAGTTGGCAACTGTCAAACCTATCTATAAGGGAAGGGGCTCTCCATCAGAAGCTGCATCGCATCGGCCAATCAGTTTACTACCTTGTCTCTCAAAAATCTTCGAAAAGCTCGTATTCGCCCAAATATACGATCACATTCAAAACAATGCCCTCATAACACAAAAACAAAGTGGTTACCGCCCAGGCCACAACACGGAACTCCAGCTAACATACCTCACCGACAAACTTTACAAATCCATGGACTCCGGAAATGATTACACTATCATATACTTGGACATATCAAGATATTTCGAAAAGATATGGCACGAAGGATTAGTTGCAAAATGTGACGCTGAGTTTGGAATACGAGGCACAAATCTCGATTGGCTTAAATCTTACCTTCATGATAGGAAGCAATCAGTTCAGGTAGGGGAGGCCATATCCACCCAGCGCACACTATTCGCAGGGGTGCCGCAAGGATCTGTTCTCGGCCCGCTTCTGGCCATCCTGTATTTAAACGGACTTAGTAGCATCACCGACAATGAAATGCTGTTTTTTGCTGATGACAGCTCACTGTATGCCAGTCACAATGCCGACAACGTTAACGAAGTTCAACGATCACTGCAACGTGACTTGGAACGCATCACTCACTACGGAGATAATTGGATTGTAACTTTTAACGCAACGAAGACTACTCAGCAGACTTTCACGAAAAATAACGGTAAAATTCCCACCCTGGTTTTTGGTGGCGTAGGAATTCCCGTTCGAGATTCCAATAAGCATCTTGGCGTAACGATTTCTACCGACCTAAGGTTCAAGTCACATGTAGATAATGTCCTGTTAAAATTCAATCGCACGCTGAGTCCTCTATTTCCAATCGCACCCTTGATTCCCAGACAGATATTGTTGAATATATATCAAATGTACGTACGTCCTCACCTCGACTACTGTGATACCATATATGATTGTCATATAACAATATTTGACAAATCACGACTGGAGAAGGCGCAGAACAGGGCAGCACGCCTCATCACTGCCACTCACCGCCGGACACCCACCTCCGGACTAAGGACTGAGCTTGGCTGGACCACCTTACAAGATAGGCGCCGCACCCACAGGCTGAAACTCTATCATAAGATTATCGTCGACGAACGAGTGCCCATTTACATAAAAGATATAATACCAGCAACAAGAAATTCGGCGCTAACACGACAATTACGCTGTACGCAATACAACAAACGCACTATTCCAGCGGCTCGCTCCGCGTTGTATGCAAGGTCTCTCGTCCCAGCTACGACCAGAACATGGAACGAACTGCCTGACACCATGCGGACAGAACACAGCATCAGACAGTTCAAGACCTCGTTGCACGCATATTTAGGAATCA